TGCCACTAAAAACCAAACTAGAGATAGAAGAAGCCGTGGAAACCGTAACCAAAGCCATACAAGAAGGAGCGAGGCAAGCAACAGCAGACAGAGATAACACACACATCATTGAAAAATGCCCCATAGAATTGAAAGAAATACTCCGTGAAAAAAGGAAAGCTAGAAAAAGATGGCGTCTAACAAGGAGTCCAGCTGATAAACAAAAGTACAACAGACTTGCAAAAGAACTTAAAATGTTATCATATAAATTAAAAAATGCCTCAATACAAGAATACCTCAGAGGACTAACCCCAACCGAAGCCACGAATTACTCTGTGGAAGGCCACCCGTAAATTAAAACAACCTAAACTGCATATACCACCAATAAGGAAACGAGACAACACCTGGGCTAGAACTGACCTGCAAACGGCTATGACTTTCGCCGAACAACTACGCACAGTTTTCCAACCTAATCCATCCCAGCTACCAGCAGCTGAAGAGGAAATTAACAAACAGCTCGAGACTCCGTTTCAGATGGCCTTCCCAATAAATAAAATCACTCAAAGAGAGGTAGAAACTATCATACTCCATGGCATTAGTTCAAAAAAGGCACCGAGATTTGACTTCATCACCGGCAAAATACTAAAAGAACTGCCCGACAAAGGATTCAAAGTACTAACATACATCTTCAATGCAGTTTTACGACTCGAATATTTCCCCTGTCAGTGGAAAGTCGCGCAAATAGTCATGATTTTGAAAACAGGAAAAAAATCCAAACGATGTTGCATCGTATAGACCCATTTGTCTACTGCCGATTCTCTCCAAAGTTCTGGAAAAAATTCTGCACAAAGGGTTAGTACCTGAAATCGACGAACATCAGCTCATACCTACACATCTGTTTGGCTTCAGAAAAGGTCATGGAACGATCGAACAAATACAACGATTAGTAAACCAAATTCACAGTGATTTTGAAAACAGGCACTACTGCTCAGCTGTATGTGTTGATATAAGCCAAGCCTTCGATAAAGTATGGCACACAAGCTTATTATTGAAGCTTAAGTGCGCTCTTCCACATCCAATGTATTCCCTACTAAAGTCCTACCTTACCGACAGAACTTTTAGTTAAATACGACGAAGCCTATACCGACTTATACCCTGTCTTATCCGGAGTTCCGCAGGGAAGTATCCTAGGGCCTATGTTATATTCCATATATACGGCTGACTTGCCAGAAACCGGACAAACAATGCTTGCCACCTATGCCGACGACACAACAATACTAGCGTCTCACGAGAACCCTACTGAAGCATCCCGGATACTACAAACACACCTAGACCAATTCGAAGAATGGCTACAACGATGGAGAATTAAGGCCAACGAAACCAAATCCGTGCACATCACCTTCGCTTTGAGACACGGAACCTGCCCTCCGGTACTATTAAACGGAACACGCATACCACAAGAGGAATCCATCAAATACCTAGGCCTTCACCTGGACCGGCGACTGACCTGGCGCACACATATTCTCGCCAAAAGAAAACAACTGGACATCAGATTTAGTCAGATGCATTGGCTAATTGGCAGGAAGTCAGAACTGTCTACCGAAAATAAACTCCTAGTTTACAAGACAATACTGAAGCCTATTTGGACTTACGGCGCACCCTTATGGGGACCTGCAAGTACATACAATATAGAAATGTTACAGAGATTTCAAACGAAAGTACTTCGGGCTATAGTTAATTCACCGTGGTACGTCCCAAACAGACTGCTACACGCCGATCTAGGCATATCCACAGTACGAGAAGACACCACAAGCATCAGCCGCAAATACAAACACAAGATAACAGCACATCCAAATGAACTGGCAACCACACTACTAAACGATGCAGACGAGCCCAGAAGACTGAAAAGGCATAAACCAAGCGACCTAACGACACGCTTCATATAAATGCGACACACAAAATAACAACGACACACCCGAAATAGATCCGTAGAGAATGCTCACTGGAGCATTACTCTCCCTGACATGTTCTCTCTTAGTATTTAAGCTTTAGATTAAGTCTCACATAAGATGTACTTATAGCCCACAATGGGCTGATTGTACAAATATATGGAGATACAAAAAAAAATATTTGGAACGGAGTTGGATCATAAATATAGCAGTAATATTTGTATGTAATTACTTCAGGGGTCATGAATTAGAGATATGGAAATAGTGGGAATTTCTGTGATACTTGAAATGTAAAATAGTGCGGACTATGCTCAGGCATGGACTAATGAAATAGCATCATCACCAGAATCACCAACTTCTCTTCCTCTTTTTCTTTCTTCTTCTTTGCTAAATTGTAGGTCGTTTAATCTTCCGGTTATCAAATTCTTCCTCTGTATTCCACGAGAAACTCCTCCATTTTGACTGCTACTTCAGAAATACTCTCCATATTCTTCCTCCTCCGTTATTTACAAATTATTGTTCCACAGCTTTAACCATCTGTGTTTATCTGTTTTCTAATTTATTCATCTCCGTGTTATTGATCTATAGTTTTCTTACATCTTTCAAGCGTTCCGTATCTCTCTTTTATTGCCTCTACTCCATATATGAGTAACAGTGCTGTTATTGCTAACATTTAAAATGTTTATTTTCCTCCTTCCTCGTAGTTTTCTTTTTATTTTTATAAATACAGCTTTAATCTGATCTGAGATCAGAGAATTTGTCGATCGCGTTGTTTTTCATTCATTCTTTGCTCATTCAGTTTTCGTTCGTTCTTCCTAGGGAGGTCGGTACTTCTATTACCGATTCCTCCCATACGGGCCGTTTTCCTTTTTCCGCTTTGGAAGGGGTCGACCCCTCCACATTGTCCAATTCAGGTACTGACGCCCCGAAAAATGCTGATACCTCCTCAGTGTCCATTCTCTCTCCTGTCGCAACCTACAGAATATCCTAGTTGCTCCCTTCATGATTTTCAGCTCTAGTGTCTTCTTGAGAGTCTTATGGGCCGGCCCTATTTTTCCCGGAGGTGGTAGGTGTCTTGAGCTGCGCCCTCTGGGGGTTCTTCTTGTGACGTTGTTCTTGGTCAGGATATTCCCGATGATATGTCCCCAGCGTCGTGCTACTGCTGCACGGAGGGACATCCTGCCGGGAGCGGTGACATATTTCTTTCGGCACCCATCCTGAACTTTGGTCCGTTCTTTCTTGAAGGTATCTCTCTTTCGATGTGCCACTGCCGCGCGTGGGGTTGTGTTCAGCCTGCAGATGTCTCTCATGCGTCGTGCCACTGTCGCGCGACGGGGCATCTTCTTGTAGGCTTGCATTTTCCGTGCCAGTCCCACACGGCGTGTTGTCCTTCTGTGGGTGACGGCCAATTCCTTCGGGGGTCTACTATTTTCCCGCGGCAAATCCTTCGGTTTCTGGCGGCGGCGCTTCGCCGCCGGTTTTCGGTCCTTACGCCTTTTCTGCCTCGGTTCCTCGACCGGCATTACTTCAGCGTCTACCACGGGGACCTCTACTCTCTGTGCCTCTTGGCAGGCAGTCGTCCTTATGTCATTTTCGGCCAATAACTTCTTGTGGCTATCGTTCCCACAATTGTCTGTCATGACGGCCATTTCTTCTCGCCATGCTTTCCTATTGGCCTGTCTCTCGTCCTCTTGTTTGGCCAGTAAATTTTCTTGCATGTCCTTTCTATCAGCGTCTGCTTTTGCCTGATTGCTTTTCGCTTCTTCTTGGCCAGCTCTAATTTCTTCTCGCATGGCCAGTATTTCTTCAAGTCTGGCGTCGACCTTGGCCTGGTTGATCTTCGCTTCTTCGTATCTGGCATCGGCCTTTGCCTGGTTGGCGTCTAGTTTTGCCAGGAAGACTTCCTGGGCGGCCAGCAGGCGTTCCATCACCTTTTCCATGTCCATAATATAGCGTGTTCAAGTTCTTAAACACTTCTGACACCAGTGTTAAAAGATTGAAGAAACGCAAAAACAACAATCTGAAACGGATATATTAGATTCCCTAAGACATGTGTATGGCCTTTGTAGAAGAACTTAATTGTTTTAGTTTATATGATAAGCGAGTCTTATGGAAACATTCAATACATAATTTGGCCATAATAGAAAATGTTCGAGGGGAATACCTACACAGTTCTGGGAACAAATGAATGTCAGTAATAAAACTAGCTTCATTAAATCCTCATAAATGTGAAATCGAGCTGAAATGCTTTTTCAGTGTTAAGATTATTTCCATGGAAACACTCCTCTTGTAAAACAAAAAGTGAGATGGTCAAACATACAAAAGGAAGTCAGCTGCAATACTAATCCACGTCTTGCATATGAAAATATTCACCACAAAATAAACATATGAAATATCATGAGTACTATCATGTGAGTATGTTGAAACTGGATAGTGCTATGTTAGAACAAAACCTGCTACCAATAGCAAATATATCTCTCCAGATTCATGAACCTTCTCACATAATTTCTCATGACATCTCATCTTAATTCAATGTTCAAGGATGAACCTTACTATTATTTTTGTATAAACATGTGTGGCAACCTGTAAGCACCGTGAATTCCATTATGAAAATGTAATGGCCACATACTTAAACCTGCATAATTCATAAAACACAAATGACAATAAAATCACAAGATAATACAGTTTTACTTGAATTTATAAATATATGCATTTTTATCATATTTGAGGCATCTGGCTACTTTGTGCATCTGTAATAAACCTTTGCAGCACCAAATGATGAATGCGAATGATGTACACCCCTTCAAATACAATTGGACAGTAATATATATATATATATACAGTTGCCTATACCTGTGGCATATTCAAATTAGTATCGTTTTCCAAAAATTATGATCATCACTCTAACACAAGACATGGTTTCTTTGATATCTTGTTGAAAACTGTTTTTAATGTCAGTGAACGTAGAGTCCGTATCAATCCCAGTACAGGCAATATAATGAAGACTTTCATATTCACAGTCAAATATCAAAACACACAGATCTGTGCCACAGCTGATGACTGAGAGTGGATTTATTCTCCACATGGCAGCCAAACCTCCAATGCAGTATGATAGCCTCCAACCACTAGAATATCGTTCTTATAGTCAAACTCTGTTACTTGCCAAACCTGAGAACTAATGACAGTAATTGTTTCTGGTCTCTGAGTTGGTGTGGATATTCGAACCGTTCCATCAGTTGAACTTGTGAGGATGCTGCCCATTCCATGCTGCACGCATGTCAGGCGTGCTCTGTGCCCAACTTTGTATGAATCAACAATATTGAAATGCCCTTGAGCTGGATTTATGAGATGTAAATTTCCCTTCGAGTCACCGACATAAATAAGGTTGTTGCTGAATGACATGCACAAGGGAACATCATACAGGATTAGTTGCTTCATAACTTTTTCTGCCCTTCGATCCCACACGGTTAACGTACGATCCTCACTGGCAGACACAATTAAGTTGCCAAACATGGACAGGGCTAACACACCACCCCGGTGAGCTCTGTACAGGCTGACCTCAGATTGTCCAACCCTGGTATCAAAGAGCATCACATCCCTCGCTAGTGTTCCAGCTGCCACCAGATTGGTTGTACAGTCTAGTGAGAGGACGGGTGTCCGACATTGAAATGCAGACATTCGTTGAAGACTGGTAGTGAGCTGCCATGACCTTACGGTTGTATCAAAAGAGCATGAGTACAGAGTTTCACCACAAGAGGCTAACTTCGTGACCCAACCTTTGTGGACATCTGATGATATTTGATATGGAACTTCTGTGTCACCATTCACCACATTAGACAGATCCCACAGTACAATGCTACGGTCTTTTGATCCAGACACACACAGCAAGCCAGAATTCATTAAATGTACAGCATTCACAGCTCCCTGATGGATGTCACTTGTTAATATTGGCTTCATTTGAACATCTTTCTTATTCCAAAATTCATACTGATCTTCAATACACACACAGGCTAGTCTCCAGTCAAAGGCATCTGTATCCACGGGAACTGGAGGATATTCATTACCCCACCTCTTCGTAATGCGTGATCTCCATACTGTTATGTCAGAAAGTATTTCATGGAAGCGTTTACATACCAAGCTTAAAGAACGACTAATGAATCTTGCATCCAAATATGAACATATGTGAAGAAAAATCTCTACTGGAATGTTTTCTAAGGACCACTGTTCAACATTGATGTCACTGCATTGAACCGCTGACACATCACACATTTCAATGTTGCTTCTTACACTCTTTACAGTTATTATCAGTTGTAGTATCACTTGGCTGCTTCCACTATGGCAAATACTAGACTGCTTGAGGCGCCGGCTTTCTGAAGACTGACTTCTGTATCCTTCGGCAACTATCCAAAGACTGGTCTGGCGAATGCATTCAACCCCTATTTATAACCTCTGCCGCTGCTATGCAGATGAATCCTCTGTTATAACCGTGGAAACGCCGCTTTGTTGATTCTGCGATTCCTACGCAACGACCCATTGTTATTGCGTTGTCTCTGTGGGAACGCTCTGTGTATTCGTCGTAACCGTGGAGATTCGATGTTCTCGACACAGCGGCTCACTGTTGGGATTAGAGTGCCGCTATTGTTACTTCCTATGTAACGGTCTGTTCTAGCGCTTCCATAGAAGAACCCCGTGTGGAGGCGGGGTCGAATACCTCCACCGTGACCCTGCGAGTCGTAGGAGGCGACGAAAAGGGAAGTCTCAATTCTGAGACAGTAAAATATGGTCGCGAGGCCCAAGGGACTCGGACCCGAGTAAGACTGCGCTGGCAAGGTCCAGCAGCGTATACAAAAGACAGACCCGTCCTCTCGTCAGAGAAGGCGCCCCACAGAAACAAGACCGTAACTGTCAAACGATAATAATTAATATCCGGTCATGAGCCCCAAATGGGGCTCGACACCAAGACTTACTGACTGACTGACCGTCAGTCGCAATGTAACTCTGACTATGACTCTGACTCTGACTTCCATAGAAGTGACTCTTCCGGATTCCAAACATGTTACAATATTAATATCCTTAGTACTAGTAGCTCTGTGTCTTATCGTTCATAATTTATACAATTTATACAATTTATATAATACATACACATGGAAGAGTTTAAATGAATGTAGACGTAAACTCTTCCCAGAATTCTCTTTTGTTGCAAAGGAATGGGAAATAAATGGAGGGACGCTACCTTGGGGCAATATAGAATATGTCATACTGCAGTTTATTTTGCTGTGAAACAAATGATGCATGTGTCCTATAGCATTCAACGCGCCGTCATCTGTTTTCTCCCTTCTCCGGCTGTCGATGAATGATGGTGTTCTTATCTTGAAGCAATGTGACCCTGTAAAGGTCCTTCATCTCTGTCATAGACCATTGTTCCTCGTGAACCGTTCGTGTTTAGTTTGAACCATTTAAATGCAGAAGATAATGAGCGAAAAATTATTGAATGCTTATCACTTATATCCCATTTTCTTTGCAACATCAAACACATTATTAAAATTAGATTTCTAGTAACTGAATAATTCCAGTTATTTTTCCTTATTTAAAATTCAGCTGACATTACAAGCTGAAGAATTCAAAAAAAAATATTGGACTATTTCTGTTTTAGATATGTTAACTTTCTTTTACAGTTGAATTCCGTTATTTTAAAGTTAAGAACCTTGTATTTAATCACGACGTGACAGGAATTTCATGCAGATAATGTCGTTTATTTCCTTGCGTTGAAGATACAGGCAGGAAGTTAGAGTTTTGATGGACTAAGTAAGTAGATAAGTAACCCCATGAATCTGAGTACATATTGAGAAGTTACGTTAATCATGAAATTCCGTCTTCCATGGAGTTAGAAGATTTATTGCCATTAGCACACGAGCACTCCATTTTTCCAATCCTGAATTATATTAACCAGTTCCAATCTACCCGACCCTGCCTAACAACGCTGTTATCTCGTGCCGTCTTACGCCACCGAGGGGGGGAGGGAGCGCTACGTTACCGCCACGTGCCGCTGGGGATGTAGGGGTCCTCCATTGCGCAACATGTCACAATATGTTCTAATATTATTTTCTTATTTTTTTCCTAGGTCCATTTACTCCTTTCCTTTCAGGCTCTGATACCAAAATTTTTTATTCATCTTAATTTTCGTCTCTGGGTGAAATAAAACTGAAGGGGTTCATTCATACCAATTTCCAAAAAATAAACACAGGTTCAGTTGTCAAATTGTAGTTAAAATGAGAATATAAACCGCTTTTATATTTATAAGTTTTGAGGTTTTCACGGCGATGACAATGAAGAAAGTCGTCTTCTGGGTTTAGGCACCATGTATTCTTCGTTTTGGCCGACGTTTCGGAGGAACGTAGCGCCTCCATCTTCAGAGCAGTTGAATGGCTTGGAATGCGGAGAGCANAGTAGCTACTGCTCTCCGCATTCCAAGCCATTCAACTGCTACGTTCCTCCGAAACGTCGGCCAAAACGAAGAATACACGGTGCCTAAACCCAGAAGACGACTTTCTTCATCGCTTTTATATTTGATCACTAGAGCTATGATTACATATAAATAGAGAATGCATAAGCTTACATTCAGGTTATTAACATTATTAATTTATAGAACAACAGTAACATCATGAATTATGCTATGAAGTCCTTAAACATTTACCATAATATTTTCTGAACCAGCAGTAGCATTTATATGTAGAAGGAATGTGATATTTTGAGATGCGTCTTGGGCTTACTTCGAAATTTAATTCTTAAAGAATCTGAGGCAAATAAATCCCCACAAAAAAAAACTCCGTGGCCTGTAGTACGTAAGCGAACTATACCGACCGAGCGACCGCCTCTTNCTTGTCGGCGAAATTAGTACCAACTTTAGAGGATAGAGGGTGTCGCGTGGTCAGCGCAACGAAACCCCACGGGCGTTAATTTTGGTTTTCTAGAGCGGAGCCGCTGTTTCCTTGAAATAACTCCTAAATTATCCTCACGAGGCCGTTCCAGANTTTTTTCCTAGGTCCATTTACTCCTTTCCTTTCAGGCTCTGATACCAAAATTTTTTATTCATCTTAATTTTCGTCTCTGGGTGAAATAAAACTGAAGGGGTTCATTCATACCAATTTCCAAAAAATAAACACAGGTTCAGTTGTCAAATTGTAGTTAAAATGAGAATATAAACCGCTTTTATATTNTCTGTAGCCAGGAACTCTGACCACTAGACCATAGAGGCGGTCTAAACAAACCCCCACAACCTGTCTTAAAGCAGTGGGATCGATAGAAATATAGTCTTCTTAATAAAACTTAACTCATTTGTGAAAAAAATAAAATACCACTTTTATCCTGCACGAATATTCACAATAAAGGAAGTCAGCATTACTTGTATGTGTCTTTCCACTTCATGCGTCATGTAGCCTCTAGCTGGCTAAACTTTACCAATAATAAATGGTAAAATGTGGCGAAAAAGCGACCTCGTTATACGAGAAGAACCCCGCGAAAATAACCTGCTAAAGTTGCTTGTTTCCTGGTCGAAAGTCGAGACCAGTACTTCCACCATGTATGTTCAATGGAAACATTATAGGAATTGATATTGCTATTGCAGGTGTGGGCCAGACGAAGCTGTGTTGAAGAGTCCATAGGCAGGGAGAAGGAATTTGCTTCCATCCAATTCTACTGACCGAACTGAACGCTATGTTTTGTTCGTAACATTAACAGGTTCAGTTGGAGTGACACCCTAGGGTACGATTAATGCAGCAGGTATAGATGAGTGAGCAGTTTCACAATCCTGCCGCTTTACCTCTAAAAGTACAACCCTACTGCTCACTGGTTAGTAACATGGGCCAGTTCCAGCCCTTGTCGAGGCTGGAACCCTGGTCATCCATCCCGTAGCCACTCAGTTCTCTAACTGGATGATGTGAGCCGTCTCAGCAGTGGCGTTAGGTTTTTCTTGTAATGTGATTTTAAAGGGCTGCAGTTTTAAGGTACAGGTTGAACCAGACCCTTCGTACTAGATTATTGAATGAGATGCTGAGGGAGGAACTCATAAGAAATTCCCTTTAAATGAAAGACCAAACGGCATGCTGTCTCTTTTAATTTATATTGTATGCATTTCCTTGCTGATTAATAACATATTGTGAAGTGGATTGCGTAAATGGAAGTGGGGGTCGCGCGAACTCTGTGATCTAGCGAGTGACGTCACATACCCCCACTCCGTCCATCAGTACGCAACGCTCGGTAACATCCTCTCCCCCGCGGTATTTCTTCATGCCGTGCCGAGTAGAGCCGAAGTGAGCCGAATCGAAGCACGCTGGTTACTACACAGTAGTAAACAACTCTCGACAGCGTTGCACAGCAACACCTGTAAACAAGGCGACTAGGTAACAGGGAAGCGAGCCGTTTTCCCGTTGTCCGTTTGAGGATTTATAAGAGAACTGCACTGCGACTGCCGTGATAGCGATTACTGCTAGAAATAGGGCATAATCTGCTGTACAATACCTGGATTGACAGAGGCCTTGTATATATTGTACATCGAAGGTATAAGTGTGGATTTGTAAATTATGTAAATACAGACAGTTGACTTATTAATACAGACTGACTGACAAATGACAGACCCGACCTCTCGTCAGAGAGGGCGCCCCACATAGACAAGACAGTAACTTTCATTCAAAAGAAATATCTGGGGCTCGACACCAAGACAGACAGACTGACTGACCGTCAGTTGTAACATGACTTTGACTTTGACTAAGGAGTTAGTTGAAATATAGCAACCGCCGGAGTAACAGTGAAGTTCCAACACCCGTTGGAGTCAGTCGGCCAGTTCTTAGTGTAGCTCCGAACAGAACGGAAACCAACTCGCATCCGAAAAAGGGAATAGAAGACTTCACCGAGATCAGTGGCACAAGAAGTAATTATAACAGTGAAGTAGTGGATAGTAATTATACTCGTGAGTGTGTAAACATGTTTGTTCAATAAAGATTCGCTAAATGCGAGACCCACCTAAAGTTATTTGTGGCGTGACATACACATACACTCGTCTACATATATGAATATAACATGATGTATTAATCGAAATTATTTATTTTATTAATGACTTAGAAACCCAGTAATTTCAATTGAAATAATAATGCTTGTCTATTCTCGGTCAATCAGACCTCACTTATGGAATTTTTATTAGAGTTACTGCAATAATGTATAATTGGGAACGGCAGGAAACAAAAATTCATTTAGGAATAAATCTAAGCCAGATTTAATCCG